TGGATTCCCCTTTCGGGTCTGAGAAATGGGAGGGAATCGACTCGTTCGACAGTAGTGTCTCGACGATGACAAAAATCTTATCCATTCCCCCTTCGCTTTTCATCCGCCTTGACTGTGATAGCTTCACGCCGCGTAGGGAGAAGGATTAACACTGTGATATTATACACTCTGATTTCAGAAAAGACGTCTATATTACGACAGTTTGGTAAACTGCCCTGAGGTTCAGCAGAGATTCACTGAGGCATCTTCCAGCAGTTAGCGTTAGAGTGCGTTTTTTCATACGCATTCAATGTGCGGGGTGTGCAAAACACTGGTGTAAACGTCTATGAGAAGGCTCTTCAGTCACGCATAAACCAGTTCTTCCAGGAGAGCGTCAGCTTCTCAGTTGAACTGTTTCATTGCCACTCCAGATCCATCAGATAAACCCTTAGGCTCTGGGCCCCTTCATTTATCGAGAATTCAATTCAGAAAGGCGGACTGGTAACAGTCTATTATAGGTAACACCACGGAAACCAAAAGCCCCAGAAGTCTGTAATACGGCACCGGCAGTAATGGCAATTTACGCTTTAAATTGATTATTTTACTAAGTTGTTTAATCTAATTTAGTACTTTTTATTTTAATTTATCTTTCAATTTTCGCGCGCTTTTCGTTGTTATATATTAGCTGTTTATAATAACTTCGTCTACTATTTCCCGTTTTTGTTTGCTCTATTTCTTTAATTTTCTCTCCTGCACCCCCGTAATGCCTCACCCGTATAACCCTCATTACCGCCAGTCCCGTATTACAGAATTCTAGGATTTTTGGATTACGCGGTGTTACCTAGAATAGACTGTTACCGGCGGACTTTTGACAAACGACGGATATCCGCATATCCGTGGCAATGAAGACTGAGATTCAAAGGGTGGTTGTCCTTTGCCCTGGTTGTCTTGGTACACCCCCTCCCCCACTTCGGGTTCACATTAACCAAAGTTGGTGAAGTAGAGTCAAGTACGATTACCTAGCGGCTGACTAGGACTAAGAGCATAGATTGGCAAATAATACAGCCCGATGTTATCGCCATTGCTTATCAGGGAGAAGAGTACAGTTCGGCAGTGCCCTCGGTCTATTATAACGTGTCAGCCGTTGTGTGTGTGGGGGGGTAAGAGTGAGCGCTGACTGCCAAAAAGCAGTACGGTAGCTAGAGAGTATTGGCTTACATCAGCATAACGTGAAAAAAAAGATGTGAGTGATAATTAGGTTCTAAAAATAAACGATGCGTTGATATTTAAAATGCAATTGTGGCGACGACGGCGGTAGCGGCAGCAGCAGAGATGCCAATTTACCTGCGTTGCTAAGAGTCACGGGTTGTGGAGGGGCATTTACAATTGGATCACGGGGACAAACAGCTCGTGCTCTTATGTGTTAGTAGTGACGAAGATAGGGGGTTAAACAGTAGCCCAGCCACCCGCCATGTCGCTCTCCAGACCATTTTGGAAGAAAGGCACAAATGTTTATACTTACGTCGATTATATCCTTGTTATTTTTAGACTCCTGGGGTTGACTGTACTCTGTGTAGCGTAGGAGAACCTGATCGATGTCGGAGCTAGCATATTGGAAGAGGCGTTTTGAGCTGTTGAATATGATGAGGGCAATCTCGCAATCACATAGGACGCTCAACTCGTAGGCCTTCTTCATGAGGCCGAGCTTGCGCTTTGTAAAGGTAACCTGTCGGTTGCGCTCATCTTCTATTCGTTTTATTTCAATTTTCTTACGACCCATTGTCTCAATAGCGAACTAAAACAAGAAAAGAAGAGGCAGAGGAGGAGGAATTATATGCACATCCTATCGATCAGTAGAGGAAAGGCAAAGAAAAATTAACAAATCACAGGCACCTAGGGTGAAGTAAGATATGCCAAGTTCACTCTGACTGAATTCATGTTGGGAATAAGTCCTCTGGAATACGACAGCCGGACAGTCAATACGATAGTAGAAGTGTAATTCTAAGCATAAATGGGCAGTCACTACAAGCCAGAAGACGGTGCGCTCATTTGTTTGCACAGTTAAACGCCGTGGCGGAAACGCTTGTCTGTGTAGGAAATCGGAAACAGAGCTGGAAGAACGGCATTTCAGGCCATCCTCTGGAAGAAAAACGTTTTTAAATAGTCCATACCCAAAATTCACCTAGGTTGGTTTCCTCACAATAAATATTCAAACACGCTCTGAAACCTTCACAGCCCGCTTTTACTTGATAGTATTGCCGACAAAGACAAGGGAGACTGGAATGGCCATTTCTGGCTTA